CCTTTTTAGTCCCCCCCTCCCTTTTTAACCTTAGCATCAGGGATTGAATATTTGATAACCCTTGTTTTCCTGCCACTCTCCCCCACCCCGGAAAAGCAGTGCTTTCAGTATATGGGGTAATGGCATTGGTTCTTTCGTGTTCTAAATTGTGAGTTTCTAAACTCATTGCATATGAGCTGTGTTTCATTTAACGTACCTCTTAAGACCTTTCTTAGAGAAAAAAAAAGTTTTATTTGCAATTTGAAAAATTGTGAGTTCTTTTTTGTATCATAGGTCAAACTTTGCTTTCTCTTTTTTGTATCATAGGTCAAACTTTGATTTCTCTTTAGATAGCATGTGTAAATAGAAAATCAAATGATAAGTGTCTTTTTTCCATTTAACAGGTGAGAAAATTAGACCCAGAATGGGCAGGCAAATTAGTAGCTTAGTATCACTGAGCAAGTTTCCAGGGGTTATGAAAAGAATCCAAGTTTCATTACTCTTATATAGGTCTCTTATTCTCACCCTTATTTCTAAGAAGTTTAGATTTATTATTTATATTATTTAGATATTATTTATATATACTTTTTATATTTGTATTTATTTTACAGCTAACTAGACAGTTTATAATGTCTTATACATTTTAGAAATGTGTATATATAATGTATATATATGTATATATACATATATATGTATGTATGTATGTGTGTATGTATATCTCCTCTGTCTCTTAATGCTTCACACAAGGAGAAGTTGATATGAACTACAAATACAGCATGCTCTGAATTTTCATCATGCTCTTTTCCCAATATAGCACATCACTTTTCAGGCTGCATTAATGATTGCCTGAAAAAAAAATTGGGAGTCTCATTTTAACTTATACAGCATCTCTTGGGGAATTTTAACTGTCAAATATGCTGCTTCTGTTGGAATTCCACCCAATATTGCTGTTTTCATTGCTGTACAAACCCCATATAGGCTCTACACATTTGCCTTTTTCATCATTATTTTATTACCCCATTGTGTCTATTATTACCTATTTGTTTGTTTTTCCTTTTCCTTTTTCCTGTCATTCTTTCCCTCCCCCAAAAGTGCTCCCAATAGAGCAAATGATTGAACCAATTAATTCAATTTATTAATAGATTATTATGATATTGACATTCTTGCACTAATCTTAGGTAGTCTCATACACCTCATCAAACAAAAATAATCCAAATCATTAAAATGTTAGATTTTAGCATTTCTCCCTTCCATTTACCCCATTGTTCCTTTTGCTTACTTTTCTTTCCATGATTACTTCCCTTCTTTTCCTTCTTGACCAATTCATCTCATATTTTCTTCAATGGTTTCCTTTCTTGCCATTGTTAATTCTTCTCCATTTCATTCCTCTATTATTCTCTTCCCTCCTTTCATTCATGAATTGTGTTCCTGTCTTTTTCCCCCCACTTCTTCCTATTCTATTTCTCCTATCCACTCCACTCACAGGAGATGAGTTATGCATCAATTTATATTCAAGTTAACAATGTATTTTGGTTTAGATAGTCTTATCTTTTTTCGTGTGGCTTGAATTTTTTTTTTTAGCTTAAAGGATAAGTTTGGTTTGGAGACATAAAGATTTGAGAACAAGTCTTGCTACTGTCATATACTAGCCTTAAACAGCACCCTCAGCCTCAAAATGTACTAAGCAACTCCTTTGTCTTCTTATTAAAGTGTAGAAGGGGTTGCCTTATTCACAAAATTGGCAGTTTACATCCATTCTTATTATGATGTACTTTATAGAAAAGATGTAGTTCCTCATGGACACCATGACCTCCAGGCCCTTGACCCCTCAGTCCTTGACCAGAGAATCACCCCTGCTCTAGCTACACTACCCTCCCTTTCCTACCCTACCCCCCTGAAGAACCAACTTAACTCTATCTTATTCTTGTCTCTTGAGTCCTTTGCCCCTTAGCTTATTTCTGTCATTTCTGTCCCAAGCCTTTGTTGTTTACTACTCCTAAAGTCTGCTACCTTCCTTCCTACACACACGCTCCTGAAGAAAGCTGTGAAAAACAAAACAAAATATGCTGCGACTGTATTGACTGGACCCACTATAAATTTGGTCAGTAACTTCAGTTGGTTAATAACCACACCTAGGCCCTAAATGCTGCATGGCAATCCTTTTAATCCTTCCTAATTAACATCTCAGTCATTATAGCCAGTCTTCTAAATCTCTTTGTCATTTTTTTTTTGATGTTCTTGTGCTGTCCCATTCCCCTTCCCTCTCAGCTGAGAAACTTGTTTTGTATTTTACTGAAAAATGTGAAGTCATTCCCTCTTAGCTCCTTCTTCACTCCTCTCAACTTCATTTCACTCATATGCTTTCTGCCACATCTTCACCTTTACCCCACTTAATGAGGTGGTCCTTTTTCATCTTATCTTCTCCAGCAGATTTCCCCCAATCATTGTAGTTTCTCACTTTTGTCTCTCCCTGTCCACTGGCTATTGCTTATAAACATACTTATGTCTACCCAATGTTCCAAAATCCCTTCCTCAGGGCATCCAAAGACTCTATCATTTCCTTTTGTGGTTAAATGTGTTTCTTTTCCTTTCCTTCAAATCTTTTTAAGTCACTATAATGTGATTTATTGCTTCAACATCTAATGAGTGTATTCTCCCTAAATTTTTAAAAAATTTCTTAATTGCCAAAATGAATAGTTCTTTCTCAATCTGTATCTTTTTTGACCTCTCTCCAGCCTTTAATGCTCTTGATCTCTTTTTTGATACAGTCTTCTGTTTAAGTTTTCAGGAAGCAGATTCTCTCCTGAACTATCTAATTAATCCCTCCTGGGTTTTTTTGTTAGATCTTCATCCAAGTAATGCCAACTCACTTTGAGCAGACTGTAGGGCTCTATCCCTGAACCATATTCTCTGCTCCCTCTTTATTATTTCATTTGATTTTCTCATCAGCTTGCAGTGAATCTATTAGTAACTGTTTGCTGAAGATTCTCAAATCTACTTATCTAACCTTATCTTCTGTTTTGACCTGCAGTCTTCCATCTCTGATTGCCTATTAGTGATCTCAAATTGGTTTTTCCATAGACATTGAACTCAAAATATCCAAAGCAGAACTTACTATTTTTACACAAAATCCACCCATCTTCATAACTTCTTTCTTACTTTTGGAGCTAAAATCATTCTTCTAGTACTCTGGCTGGTCGCTTAAGTGTCATTCCACTTCCTTATTCCCCAACCCTTGTCTAATATGCAATAAAATCCTTTAGATTTTATCTTTGTGACATCAATTGCATACACACACATATCCTCTCATTTCTGGCACTGCTAACATATTGATGTGGGCTTTCACCACCATATGCCTTAACTATTACAGTAGCCTAATGGCTTGTTTCCCTACTTATAATCTCTTCCAACTTCAGTCTATGCTCTACTTCTCAAAATAAACTTCCAAAGTGCAGATCTGATCATGTAGTCCCTGCCGCCTCCTACTCAATAAAACTCAAGGGTTTCTATCATAAGGGCATTCAGTGTATTTTCTAACCTCTTCCATCTCACCTTTCTGATCTTTTTAAATGTTATGTTTAACTTCCAAAAGCACTCTGTAGTCCAGTGACTTTGGGCCCTCTTGCTTTTTCTTGAATAAGACATTGCATCCTGCAACTCTGGGCATTATCTGTTATGTAGCTTGCTTGAACATTGTTTTTTACATACTGTTTCCCATTATATTCTAAAGTTCTTGAGAGTAAGGACTATTTTTTGACTTTTTTTTTTATCCCCAACGCCACATTCACACAAAGCAGACATTTTAAAAGGTTTATTGACACACTAACAAAAGTTAAAAAGGGAATTTCTTGACTTCTGTTATTCTAATGACCATGATTAAGAATTTGAAAAATCTGCAAGGAAGTAGCATCATTAGAGGAGTATTTCAAATGTTCAGTAGTAGAACAAAAATCAAATATGATCATTGAAATAGATGAATAAAGGCACAAAATGTGAGTTGTATGCAAAGTACTGGGATTATAGTAAAGAGAGACATTTTGAGGATTAATTAGATAATACACAATATGACAATCCTTTGGTCCTGAACTTTTGTGAAACAGAGTAAGGGAATGGTTTAGAATAAAGCATTCACTCTATACATACAATTTTAGTGAAATTAAATTGATCAAAATAAATAAAATCACACTTGTTCTATGGAGTTTAATAAACTGTCCTATGTGATTCAGTGCCACTATTAGCACCTTCCTCAACTTGCCCAAGAGAAAATTAGAATGATACAGATACAACCAATACCTCCTCAAACACATTACTGACATTGAATAATTTCAGGACAGTATGGGGAAAACAAAAATCCAGATGATAGCATTCTACAAAGCAGATATTTTTATGGCAATTGTGATTACTCAAGGATAGATTATTTCAGGTGAGGAGGGCATCAGGTAGAGCAATGCAGAGATAATCATGAGCAAATTCCTGTAAGAGAGGAAAATTCAATAACTTTTTTTTCTATGATGGGCTCTAAGTGTTGTGAATTTTGCAAACTATTACTACAATGGCCTTTTATATTTTTCCATTAAGAAAATCTTTGATGCATTTTCCACTCTAAAATAAGCATAAACTCTTAATTGATGAATCCAGTAGAGCTCAAGTGTTATGGAATGTACTTTAATAGGAATGAAAGAGAAGTTGTAGAGTGTATTGTAAAAATCATTTTACTACTCCTCTGCTGACAGTTGTCAATTTGCTTCACTTGCTCATACCTCTGATTCCTCATCTACAAAGTCATGGGACTGGAGTTCATGGTCACTGCAGTAATGTCGAGTTCTAGATATATAGTCTTACGAACTTTTAACAGAGGACACCATTCAGTATTAACAGTTCTCCTGCTGGAATAAAAAAAAAAACACTCATTGTGGCCATCAAACAACTCATTCATTTTAATGTCCAGATTATCTACTCCTTCCTTTTTTTAGGCTTTTCCATTAATTGTGGCATCATATCTACTGAATCTCTGAAGACAAATGGTATCTAATGAACTGATCTTTGGTGTGGCATTCTTCTTTCAATATGCCATTGTTTTTTTAAGGAATTCACTGCTGTTCACATTGTATGTTTATATTTTTGTCAGAAAGCCTCAACAGAAGAAACCAATGGACTTGATTGTTGCTCATTTGACTTTGGCCAATATGGTCACACTTTTTACCAGAGGCATCCCAGAAATCATGTTTTGTTTTGGGATGAGACATTTTTTAGATGATGTAGGGTGTAAGGCACTCCTTTACATTACCAGAGTTGCCCGGGGACTTTTTGTCTGCACAACAAGTCTTCTGAGTATGTTCCAGGCCCTCATCATTAGTCCCAACAACTCTGTGTGGGCTAGCATCAAAGTCAGAGCCCCCAAATACATTTTACATTATTTCCTCTTTTTCTGGGTCACCAATGCATTGATCTATATCAGGGTCATTGAAGTCACTGAAGCAATCAAAAATGTCACAATTTCTAGGTATCGTTATGTGTCACAACTTTACATGGTACGATCAAACAATGATCATCAATTTAATGCTGCATTTATGTTTGGAATAATTCTTCATGACCTTATCTTTCACTTCCTTATGGGCTTGTCCAGTATCCACATGGTGCTTCTCCTCTATAGACATAGCAAGCAAGTGCGGCACATTTATAGCAGTAGTCATTCCCTAGATCCTTCCCTGAGGTCAAGGCCACACAGACCATCCTCTTGCTTGTGACCTGCTTTGTTTTATTCTACTGGCTCCACAACTGTATCACCTTATATGAATCTTTTAATTTTGAAAAACACGCTGAATTTGAAGCCATTGCATACTTTTTTAGTGCATGTTACCCTGCCCTCTCTCCCTTATTGCTGATTGGCGGGGAGAATTGTATTCCAAAGGTTCACAGTATATCTGGAAAGGCACAAAGACCTCTAAGGATTTTATGGAAGGATTAGTCAACCTATGAATCTAATCTCCCCCACCCTAACATCTTTATGAATTTCTGTGTTCCAGTCCTGAAAAGAATGTATAGTTCAATAATGAAGAATTTAATAAAATATCACATGAAAATTTAGCTTCCTGCAACAAACTTGAAAGGAAATTTCTTTCTCTTTTATGTCTCAGTATGAGAATGATCAGCAAGAAGTTTCAGGCCTTTTTCCATATACTCATATTAGATTATTGTTTTATCTTGGGTAAATCAGGCCACCATTGTTGCTCATATTATCCTACTTTGTAAAATGAAAGGCTTGGATGAAATGTATAATGTCACTTCTACAAAGGCTACATGAGTAATTTTATTAAGTGTTTTGGAATGAATGTCATCTGTATTGGGTTCAAATTGCTTAGTAAATGCCAGGCACTGTGGAAAGTGCAAAGAATACAAACAATGCAAAAATATCATTCATTCTCTTAATCAGAGAACACATTTAAACAACTATTGAATTATTTAGAACAAATATTCCACGTAAATAGGTGTAATCTCAGAAGGAAGCTATTAGCAGCATGGTAGACTTCAAATGGACTTTTGAAGAGAAGGTGGGATTGCAACTGAATCTTGAGGGAGGACAGAGTAGCCAGGAAGTAGAAGTAAGAAGGGAGAAAACTCAATGATAGGGGAACAACTAGGGGAAAGGAACACCATCTGGAAATGTAGTGTTTTGAGAAAGCAACACCAAGTTACCTAGAATCACTTGTAAGTGCATAGAATTAAAGATTTTTAACTAACTGAAAAGATAGGAAGAGCCTAGGTTTTGAAGAGCTTTGAATGTTAATCAGAGAATTTTGTACCTGACTGAGAAGGTGACAGAGAGGAAATGGAGTTTATTGAAAAGAAGGATTCACATGATCAGACATGTGCTTTAAAAAGATAAATTTGATAGCTCAGTAGAAGATGGACTGGTATAGGGACAGACTTGGGACAGGAAAACTAAGTAGTAGACTACTGCAATAGTACAGGTATGGGGTGATCCATACCTGCATCAGGGTGGTAGCTTTTCAAAAGAAAGGAGAAGGGTAAATATTCAAGAGATATTAAAATGAATCCTAAAACATTTGGCAACATATTGTATATGGCAGGTAGGAGATAGTGAGGAGTCGTGGGTCATTGTAATGCTGGCTTATAAAGCTGTTTAACTGGGAGATGGTGCTGTCTTCAACAGTAATAAGGCGTAAAAAAGGAAAGTTTGGGAAGAAAGACGGTAAGTTCAGTTTTGGACTTGTTGGGTTTCAGGTATCTGCATTTACACTCAGTTCAAGATGTCTAATAAGCAGTTGGAGATAGATGTTAGGAAAAAAGTTATGGCTAGATAAGTGAAACTGAGAAATATAAGCATTAGACGTCATAGATGAATTGCTGGGACTTGAAATCATCTATGATATCAAATATAGAGTGAAGAGAAAAGGTTCCAGGACAGAGTCCCGTGAGATGGCCAAGGTGATTGGAGATGACCTGGATGAAGATTCAGGAAAAGAGTTTAAGAAGAATTGGTTGGAAAGGTCAGATGAGAACCGGGAGAGAAGCTCATGAAAACCAGGAGAGAAGAGAATGTCAGTGAAGGGGAAGGGTGATTTTGACAATGTCAGAAGTTGCAGAGGGGTCCAGAAGAGTATGAGTAGTGAGTAGTGAGTATATGAGTATTGAGAAAAGGCCAGCGGATTTGGCAAATAAGAAATTAATAGAGAACGCTTTTGATTGAATGATGAAGTTAGGACCCAGAATTGTAGAGATATAAAGACAGATAGAAAGGAAAACAAGTGGAGAATGATTTTTCTAATATACAATGTCTTCTCAAAGTGTTTAGCTACACAAAAGAGGAGAGATGCAGGAAAATGGGTAGAAGGAATTGACATACCAAGGATTTAGTTTTTTTTTTTTAACATGAAGGAAACTTGGAGGGTGTCATAGCCAGTAACAAAACATCCAGTAGACAGGGTGAGATTGAGGAAAAATGAGAGAGGATGATAGAGAGCACAATATGTTAGAGTAGCCAGATTGAATGGGATCACTTGCGCACAGAGAAGTTTGCCTTGGCAAGGAGAAGGATTATATCTTTATGTTAATCTAGCTTGAAGGAAGAGATATTGAGAAAAGGCATTTGAGTGATATGAGATGAAGAGAAGGGAATAGCTTGAAAGAGCTTTCAGTGGATGGCCTTTATATTCTCAGTGAAATATTAGGTAAGGTTCTCATCAGTGAGTGTGGAGTATAGTCTCTCAGGAATAAGAGGTCCCATAAAGGAAAGGGTGAAGTGACAAAGCCAAGTATTAAAACAGGGTGGAGAAAAGGTGAAATCTCTATTCATTTGTGGAACAATGTTCCTGTGAAAAATATTCCCTTCAGAAGAGAGATATTCTTTAATAGGAGACAGGGAACTTCCAAGTGGCATAATCCACAGAGATTTGATGCCTATCATGTAGTGCCTCCATGGACAGCTTCCTTACTAATTAGGATGGGATTGAGAACTCTGACAGGTGATTGACCCATCCAGAAAGGTTAGTTGACTTGCACTAATAAATGATATTTCAGAATATATGGGGAAAAAAATAATTATGGAAAAGACAGACAGTAATAATGAACTGTATTATCAAACACTGAGATATTTTACCATAGGATACTATTTGTATATTCTCTGTTTCAACAACAAGAGAAACAGTTTAGAAGAGGAAGCTTAAAATATGTGACTTAGAACATTTAATTGTTTAAGGAATTCAGAGATTAAAGAAGGGATGAATAAGCATAATGTTCATTCATGAAAGAATTAAATATCAAGAGTAGACAAAAAGGGATGAGAATGAAAGAACTCACAAAGTGAAATAAATCCTGTTTACAAAAAGTATACAGTAAATTAGAATAAAAAACTAATGATGCACATTGCAGATGTTGGTAGGAAGAAGAATTTTATCTGTTTGTTTAACAGAAATTAAAGAGAATAACAATTAAATCACTAGTTAAAAGGAAAAATGAATTAGTAAATTAAACAATAGTTATCCTAGGCAGAAGGATAACAAGGTAAGTTTGTGATGAAGACAAAGAGAGTGTATGAGAATAGAATTGCCTTAAGACAAATTAAGGAAAATTTCTTAAACAAATTACTATCTTTACAAGAGGGAATGAATCAAAACATCCTAACCCAGAGGAAGACACAATTTGAGAAACAAATGGGGAAAACAGAAATGTTACTTTCACAACATTAAATGTGCATTCATGAAACGACTAAAATGGAAAATGACACTGAGGGCACAGCCAAGATGGCTGAATAAAAGCAGTGACTTGCTTGAGGTCTCCCTCAAAAAAAATTGGCTCTAAAGAAATTCTAAAGCAGCAGAACACACAAAAAGACAGAGTGAAACAAACTGACAGCCCAAGACAGCCTGGATGATTGATCAGAAAGGCATATCACACTGGGCGGGGAAAGGTGCATGGTTTGGCTCGGGCACACAGCAAGGCAGGCCTCCGCAAACCTGGAGCAGGCCTCAGAGAACTGAATTGCAAGCAGCTTTGGTGGTTTCCAGACTTCTCAAACCACAAACACCAAAGATAACTTAGAAGGTCAGTAGGAAAAGTCTGTGTCTGTAGTGAGGGAGAGGGAAGCACGGCAGCCCCAGTCCTGGGCATGGGCCCAGGGAGGTGACTGCTTCTGGAACTTCTGGCCCACAGACTGATTTGGAATTGAGTGGCTGATCAGAGGGGTATTGATTTGCTAGTGCTTGCATCAGGGTCACAGTTCTGGGTGGTGGTCCTAAGGTGAGGAGGAGCACTGGCATGGTGGAGCGCCTAGTGATGGTGGAGATGAAATCTTCCTCACAGTTCCAAGACAGAAAAGATAACTTGTGGTCACTCATAGACCAGAGCACAGGCCAGGAGTGGAGTAAACACCTCACCCTTGACTACAGCACCTTGGAAGTACTGAAAATTTAAGGGTGCCTGGAAGTATCTCTGAAAACAGCTGCACAAAACCTCTGAAGCTTGAGACAGTACATTCTCCAACACTGGAAGCAGACTCTTACCTTTACAAAGAGTTTATAATTCAAGTAATTGGCTGGGATCATGAGCAAGCAGGGCAAAAAGATTCAGACCATAGAATATTTCTTTGGTAACAAAGAAGAGCAAAACATGCAACCAGAAGACAACAGTTAAAGTTCCTAAATCCAAAGCCTCCAAGAAAAATATGAATTGGTCCCAGGCCATGGAAGAGTTCAAAAAGGATTTTGAGAAGCAAGTAAGAGAAGTAGATGAAAAACTGAGAGTGATGTAAGAAAATCATGAAAAACAAGTCAATAGCTTGCTAAAAGAGACCCCCCCAAAATTGAAGAAAATAATACCTTAAAAAATAGCCTAACCTAGGGGGCAGCTATGTGGTGCAGTGGATAGAGCACCGGCCCTTGATTCAGGAGGACCTGAGTTCAAATCCAGCCTCAGACACATAACACTTACTAGCTGTGTGACCCTGGGCAAGTCACTTAACCCCATTGCCTAGCCAAAAAAAAAATAGCCTAACTCAAATGGCAAAAGAGGTCCAAAAAGCCAATGAGGAAAAGAATACCCTAAAAAGGCAAAATTGGCCAAATGGAAAAGGAAGTCCAAAAGCTGACTGAAGAAAATACTTCCTTAAAAATTAAAATGGAGCAATTAGAAGCTAGTGACTATGAGAAATCAAGACACTTCAAAACAAATCCAAAAGAATGAAAAAAATAGAAAAAAAATGTGAACTATATCATTGGAAAAACAACTGACCTGGAAAATAGATCTAGGAGAGATAATTAAAAAATTATTGGACTGTCTGAAAGCCACAATCAAAAAAAAAAGAGCCTAGACATCATCTTTCAAGAAATTATCAAGGAAAACTCCCTTGATATTTTAGAACCAGAGGGCAAAATAGAAATTGAAACAATCCACCAAACACCTCCTGAAAGAGATCGCCAAAGGAAAACTCCTAGGGATATCCTAGAGATATTAGTAAAGTA